CTTTACTGGAGCCGTGATGGAAAGGTGAAGGGGTGCTGATGTCTTACCCCAGTTTTCTCAGGGGGGTTTCTTACCTTCTTCTCCAGAGCATCATGGTCATAGGTTGAGTGTAGTTTCCTCTTTCCAGACCCTGATCTCTCCGGCCTATGCAGACACATGGAGATTTGGGCTAGGAAAGAAGTGGAAAAGGAGGTGGTAAACTATTAGGTCATGTTAAAATTTTAAGGGTGAAGGATGGACATGTGTCCTTGTTATCCAAAAGACTCAAGAGGGGTCTGGATGACGGACAAAGTTCCATCCACGGGCTCTGAAGAGCATGACAAAGAAACAAACGGAGATTCCTAGAGGGCACTGGAGTCCACATCCACCATCCCGCAGGATTCCTGGGGACCTCAGAGACATCTTATCCAGCCCTCCTCTGCCCACCACGGACGAGGGGCCTTCCAGACTTAAAGAGCTCACAAGAAATCAGAAGCAAAGGCACGCACAGCTACCTACTTTCTGACGACTCCCATGGTCAGGAAGGTTTTCTTTACCCCAATCACATCCAACCCAAAGGAACTAACATTTAGCAAGTGCCTGCTATGGGCCAGCTCCTCTGCTATGCACAGTCCCTGTCCTCAAGCAGTTTACACTCTACTGGGACATACTGCCTACACAGATCTCTGAGTATATAGTACAGAGAAAGCAATACAAAATAATTGGGGGGAGGGTGTGAAGCGAGCAGCTGGGGGGGCGGGGCAGGGAAGGCCTCCAAGATCCACAGCTGCTCCTGATATTGACGCCATCCATGCCCTCACCCACCTTCATTGCTCCAAGAATGGCCACAGCTGGTTGAGCCATCCCCCTCCTGCTGGATGTTTAGGTTTCCATCAAGGAAAAGCCTCCTAGACGTCAAGTATTTTGTTGCCACCTCCTTTCTTAAGGCATCAAGGGCATTTGCGAAGAAGTCTTTTGTCCTGTTGGACTGACTGCCATAACCCAAAGCCCCGGGAGGGCTCCAGAAAGGGGCAAAGGATTTCTGGACAAGAGCCCTTGGAGACAAACTGGATGTTACCGTCTTCTTAAGCTAATCTTGTCTGAAACTGAACTCACGCTCTTTTCACCCAGTTCTCCCCCTGTCTCTGGAGTTTTCCTGCTAGGCCAGGGCATGGCGGGGACTCCCAGCCTTAGCCAGACTCTTCCAGCACTTCCTTCCTCCCCAACCCCACGCTCAGGGTCAATCCATCACCGGGTCTTGCTGGTGTAACCTTCCCTCCACAGGGTTCAGATCCGAACCCTGCTCTCTGCCCTGAGTGCAGGCCCTGACCACCTCCTGCCCCGACTGAGGCGGGGCCATTTATACAATAACATCATACAGAAAAACAGCTTCGAAAGACTCAAGAACTCTGCTCAGAGCAATGAGGACTACCGCTGCTCCAGAGGACTGATGGTGAAACATGCTCCCTCACTATGGCCGGAGAGGGAACGGACTCAGGGTGCCGGAGACACGTTTTTGGACCGTGGCCAATGTGGACTGTCATGCGTATCTTTCACATGAGTTTTGTCTTTTCTTGTTCTTTTCCCCCATGGGGGAGGGAGATGGGAGAAACACAAAAGATCATTTTGTTAATTGAAAAAAATTCAGTTAAAATCTGAAAATAAGGGATTAGTAATGAAGGAATAGAGCAGGATGCGGAAGTGGAACATCCCAGCCGGCCCTTTGTGGAGGCTCTCTAATCTCTGGCCTGGGTGCCTCCTCTCCGGATTGTTCCCAATTTACTGGGGGTAGCCTCGCTTGCCCAGAACAGTTTGCATCTGGTCTGCCCCTTTAGCCTGGCAGGGGCTGGTTTTGCCCTTCTTTGCATCCCCACTGCTTAGCACGGTGCCCGGGCCGCCGTAGCGCCTTAGGTCTTTACAGGCTTGTTGACTCGACCTGACTTGAACTTGGAGTCACAGGACCCAGAGCTCTGCCCCTAACTTCCTGTACGACCTTGGGTCGGGCTGAGCGGTCATTTCGGTCAGCGAGCGACTCTGGGCTGTAGATAACAAGCACCTCGAGAGGGTCTAGGACCGTGGACTTGCAGCTGGGAGGGACCCAGGAGGTCCTTGATCCAAGCCCCTCATTTGACAGATGAGGAAACCGAGGCAAACGGGGGAAGTGACTCATCCAGGGTCACGCTGCTAGGAAGTGTTTGAGGCCAGGCTTGGGTCTGTTTCTTTATCTCTCACACGCAGGCGTTCCGTTAAATGACTTCCCAGGCCCCTGTCCCATTCCAGATGTGGGACACCAATCCCCGATCCACCATTTGGACGGTGGCAGACAGCTCTCACACCTGGCTCCAGCTGGGTCTGGCCTGAGGCCAAGCAGCTTCTCAGGCCCGCGGTGGCTGCAGAACAGCTGCGCTGGCGGTTCACCCGCCATAAAGGACAGTCTGCAAGGTTCACCCCCGTGCACAGAACGCAGCAGGGCCTGGTGATGACATCGATACTATAAGGGGGAGGGTGGTTAGCCAACGGATAATAATGATTAACTTTTAGACAGAACTTTCCTGGTCTGCAAAGCAATTCGCAGATATTATCTCACTTGAAAATTGTAACAACATCCGGCCTCGGACACTTGACACGTACTAGCTGTGTGACCCTGGGCAAGTCACTTAACCCTGATTGCCTAACCAAAAAACAAAAAAACAAAACAAAATTGTAACAACTGGGGAGGCAAGGGCTCTTATCAACCCCATTTTTCAGAGAAGGAAACCGAAGTAGACAAAGATGCAGTGACTTGCCCAGGGTCACATGGCTCTCAAGTGTCTAAGGCTGGATTTGAACTCAGTTCTTCCTGACTCGAGGCCCAGCCCTCTATCCACCTCATAAACTAGATAATTCTCTTTTTCATACTTTCCCAGGCTTTCTGCCTTATTAGCCTTCCTCCATGACGATGATAAGGTTCATCGGGGACACGTGTATTCTCTCCCCAGGAGGCCCGGGTTCCATTTTCGATCCGCTCTGGATCTGTGATTTGATACTAGCCGCCAGTAGGCATGTATCCCTGGTCTGGGTCTGGGACATCCTCGCCCCCTGGTGCACAGCCCCTCTCTTATCCCCCTCCTGGCCAAACCCCGTCCCTAGTGTCTGCAGACCCCTCTGTGTCCCTCTGCTGACATGGGCTGGACAAATGACTCCCTGAGAGTTTTTCCTGGATCTTCCCACCAGGATTTGGTCTGGGACATGTCCTCTAAGAAGGGCTTGTTTTCTTGGGGAGGGGAAAGGGAAAGGGGGGCTCTCTGTGGTTCTTCCTGTTATTCTGCCTCCTACCACATTGTCTCCTCCACCCAGGTCTTCCAGAACAACTATCAGACATCAAAATGAAAAAACGAAACTCAGTGCCACAGTTCCTCCCGCTCGGGGTCCTTACGGAAATCCTCCTGTCCCAGGCTAACATCAGGGCAGGACTGGAGGGGTCTCCGTCGCCCCCCACCCGGCCCAGGCCCCTCTCCCCAGCTGCTGCTGCACCTTCCTCAGGCCTGGCTGCCAAGCATTGATTGACTCGAGTTGGGCCAGTGACAGTAACTCAGCTGTTTCCTTCCTGAGCAGAAAGGGTGGAGCCCACACTGTGTGGACACCCCAGTAGGCAAGAGGTGGGAGGGCAGGGCAGGAGGAGAACGGGGGAGCCACTTTCTTCCGTCGTCCCCCATGAAACACTGGGCAAAGGGAGGTGATCCCAGGCAGAAGCAGGGGCAGCTAGGTGGCCGCAGTAGATAGAGCCCTGGCCTTGGATCCAGAAGGACCTGAGTTCAAATCCAACCTCAGACACTTGGTACTTACTAGCTGTGTGACCCTAGGCAAGTCACTTAACCCCACTGCCTAGCAAAAATCACAAAAAGAAAAGAGCAGGGGCAGCGGTCTGGGCAGTTGCTCCCTGTCTCAAGGGCAAGCCTAGTTGGATCAGCGGAGGGTAGAGTCAGCCTCAGAAAGGGTGCAGGGCGTGCAATACCTGAGCAGGAAGCCCAAGGCCTTAAGACCCTTAAGGGTCTACTCTCATTTAACAGATGAGGAAACTGAGGCAGAGGTGAAGTGAAAGAGCAGGGATTCAAACCCAACTCTAGCATTTCCCTGCCTGTGCTTGGATACTTCTGGGGATGGAGAACTCACTACCTATCAAGGCAAAGTCGCCCCTGTAGGTACAGAGATGAGTTACAGGGGGAAGGGGGAAACGCCGCCCCACAGAAAGCAGGAGTGGGTCCTGCTTCTGGAAGCTTGTGGGGAGGGTCAGGAGCTGCACAGCTGTAGCCGCAGGGAGGAGGATGCTCCGAGCCTTTGGCCAACCCAGTTCCCCAAGGTAGGACCGGGGCTGCTGGAACGGCAGGTTCCCTCCGCTAATCAACGGACGCGATGATGAGCGGGGCGGGATGAGGAAGCAGAGGAATGACAGCGGGGTGGGAGCAATCAGGGGACGGGTAAGTTTGAGCGACGTGGCCACGCGCCCATCTGGAGGCCGCAGCCACAACGAGGGCGGGGGCGTGCCAACCAATCCGAACCGAGGAGCGGCGAATCTCGACCAATAGCAACGAGGGAGGCGGGAAGGGGGCGGGGTTCTCCAGGCCGCGACTCGGTGGTGGGTGAGGGATCAGTTTCTTCTGCTCGCTCCCACCCCCGGGACTCCCCATTCCCAGCGGGATGCGAGGGGAGGGGGCCTTGGGGAGCTCCTGGGCTGGGGTGGAGGCGCGCTTTGGGGGAAGGGTCCGGGAGGACAAGAGGACTCCTGGTCGGGGAGGCAGGGGGCTACGGGGTGGGCGCTGCCGAGGAGTGAGGGGCCCCGCGGGGGGCGGGACTTCCGGGGGGCCTAGGGTTTCCGGGGCGGGGCTGTCCATGCAGGGGGCGGGGCTTCTGGCTGTCCTGGTGGGGAGTGGGCGGGGCTTTAGGGGGTGTGAGCCTGGCCCGCCGGCCCCTGGCTTGGCTCTCCTGGCGCTTGCAGAGGCTGGGCCGCAGCGGTCGGGCGGGGCAGCTCGGGCCATGGGGGGCCGGCCCCAGATGGGGCGCCTCTGCCCTCATGGCCTGTCGCTACCCTCTCTCCCCAGGGCCCCGGGGTCCCTCCGCCAGCTTCCATGGAGTTCCCCGGACACAGCGAGCAGCTGCTGCAGAGCCTCCGGGAGCAGCGCTCGCAGGGCTTCCTGTGCGACTGCACGGTGCTGGTGGGCAGCACGCCGTTCCAGGCGCACCGCGCCGTGCTGGCCTCGTGCAGCCCGTTCTTCCAGCTCTTCTACAAGGAGCGGGACCTGGACAAGCGGGACCTAGTGTGCATCCACAACGAGATCGTCACGGCGCCCGCCTTCGGGCTGCTGCTGGACTTCATGTACGCCGGCCAGCTGGCCCTGCGCGGGGACACGCCCGTGGAGGACGTGCTGGCCGCTGCCAGCTACCTGCATATGAATGACATCGTTAAGGTCTGCAAGCGGAGGCTGCAGGCCCGGGCCCTGGCCGAGGCAGACAGCACCAAGAAGGAGGAAGAGCCCCGGGTACAGCCGGCCACCCCAGAGCCCCTGCCTAGCACGTCCCGCGGCCTCATGCCCCTGCTGCCAGCCCCAGAGACGCCCAGCTGGAGGGACCAGGCCCAATGGAAAGGGCCCGCCCCGGCCCCTGCCCTGCCCTCGGGCCCCCAGGCTGATGAGCCCCCGGGGCCCGACAGTGCAGACACCACCCAGCCTGGCATGGACGCCCCGGTGGTGGAAGGTTCCCTTTCCAGCCCCAGTAGCTCCACGGAAACCGTACCTGCCAGCTACTTTTCCCCTAGTCTCGGGGCTGCCCCAGGGGAGCCCCCAGGGTCCCTGGAAGTGGGTCCTGAGAACCTAGGGGTAGGAGGCCCACGAGGACCCAGTGGGCCAGTGGAGGGGTTCTACCCACCTCGGCCAGCGCCAGCGCCAGCGCCAGGAGAGGCTGAGCCCGTGCAGGTGAAAGTAGAGGCCATCGTGATCTCTGACGAGGAGGCCGAGGGGCCGGAGGAGAGGCCACGTGCACCCGAGGGACTCTTCCCATCGGGAGTAGTTTGTCGGAGCCGCTATGCCCCACCTGAAGTGTTTGAAGAGGCCTCGGCTGCGGGAGGCTCTGGGCTCGAGGAGGGGGCGCCGCCTGACCACTTTCTGGCCCCAGACACTCACCTTCCCTACCACCTGTTAGCCGGCCCAGGGCACTATCACCCCGGCCTGGTGACGCCCCCTCCGCCTGCAAACAGCGGCCTGCACGAGGCTCTCTACTTGCCTCCAGAGTATGAAGTGGCCTCGGGGGGCTTTGGGGTTTTCACAGAGGATGTCCCAACGTGCAAGACATGTGGGAAGACCTTCTCCTGCTCCTACACGCTGAGGCGCCACGCCACTGTGCACACCCGAGAGCGGCCCTATGAGTGCCGCTACTGCCTGCGGAGCTATACGCAGTCGGGGGACCTGTACCGCCATATCCGCAAGGCCCACAATGAGGACCTGGCCAAACGCAGCAAGCCTGACCCCGAAGCTGCCCCCTCCTAGGGGTGCGCACCTCACCTCACTCCGACTTCAGCCTGAGAAGTTGGGGGGGCACCCCAAGGTCTCTGGACTTGGCCCCTGGGAGTTTGGGGGAGTGGAGTCCTCTTGAGAAGCGGGAAGGCTGGGAGGTCATCCTGGCACCGCTGGGGAGGATGGGTGTGGGGGTCAGGCTGCTGCTGTGCCCTTGGGCCAGGTGAAAGGGAAGCACTGCTTGTAACACAGAGCCAAGGAGCTGGCTCTCGCATTCCTCTGCCCTCTTCCCACTTCCCCCCTGGGTTATCGAGGGACAGAGGCCCACTTGATTAGCTCCTCTCCAGTCGGATCATTTGCCCAGCACCACGGCCTTCAGAGTGCCCCTGAAGCTGTCACTTGCCATCGCAAGAATTGTCTTATTGCCTGGGCCATAAATGTGAAAGTAAATCCTTTCTATGAAGTGGTCGTGGCTGGTTTTTTCCCCCCTGGACAAATCTGAGGCCTAAGGTTGATTTCTCCTAAGGCCTTCCAAGAATCTGACCTGGGAGAGGAGGGGTGGCAGAGGGGGGAGTCAAATTACTGATAAGGGATAAGGGGAGGCAAGGCGAGTTTTACACAGAAAAAGGAATTCAGGCATAATTAGGAAACATGACTGAATTCCGTGAGCACATGGGATGAAGCTAACAGACAATTTGTGTGTATTGCTTCGACTGTGGCCAGAGCTCACAGGTGGCTCTTGGGGCCTGTGGTCAGCCGCTTCGGTGGGCCGGCCATACTGAACGCTGGACAAGCGTGTGTAGGGCTCCGGGCCTGAGGCACAGCCTGGTAACCCTTGGATACAGCCAGGGTAATAACAGCTTGCATTCACAGAATGGGATCTGGTCAGAGAAGGGAAGTAGGAAATGGGGGGTATAGGTGGAGGGAGGGAGAGGGCCATGGCCTTGTAGCTCTGTGGGGGAGTGACCACTGAGATCTCCTGCCACTCGCTCCTCTGTGGCTCACTGAGAGACCCCCACCAGGTTGGGGAAGAACACTTTTCTCCGGCCTTCCTCGGGCAGCTTGAGCCATGTCTCGCAAAGTCTGCTCCTCAAAGTCAGCTTCTTTGCCTTTCTATATCGTATAGGAAAGCAGTCTCGGGGACCTTCACGTTTAGAGAGCATCTTAAACTTTCCAAAGCTCTCCATAGCCAGTCGCTGAAATCATTCAAGGTGCCCACTGAATGTTTGTCCAGCTCAGGTGACCTGAAGAGTTTCTTGGGAGGGCTGCCAGGGCACCTGGAAGGAGGTGGGGCGGGGGGGGGGGGGTCTGTCTTCTTCTCCCCCCTCCTCGGTGGGGGAGGGCCCCGGGGCCAGGGGGGGGGGGGGGGGGGCAGTCACACAGCAGGGGCCAGCAGTGCTAAGGTGTCCTTGGCCACAGTGGACAACACCACGTTTGTGAAGAGCTCTGAGGGCCAAACCCTAAGCTTCCCAAGAGTCCTCAACAAACCCATTTAGGCATTCAGAAGTCACAGACTCTTGGAAATTGGGAGGGACGTTAGAGTTCTTGCTCATCCTTCTGTCCCGTTGCTGAAAGGGAAGCGTTCAGCCTCTGCTTAAACAGTGGGATGAGGGACAGGCAGGCCCTGGATTTGGAGTCTCAGATTCAGCTGTGACACCAATCTGCTCCATGGCCCTGGGCAGGTCACTTCCTTGCTGTGCCTGTTCTCTAGTCTGTGAAATGCTAAATGACTGAAGGGCCTTTCCAGCCCTGTAGCTCCGTGCTTTACCATTCTATTTTTGGACCATCCTGATGGCTGAAAAAGGCCCTATGTTGCACCCAAATCTTCCGTATCTTGGTTGAAGAATTACATTCCATCCCTTTAATAACCTCGTTTCCATCTTGGAAATTCCTACTATTCTGATTCCTCTTCTAACCCAGGATACAGTGGGACTTGGAACAGTAGTTCCTCAGCATAGAGCAGTTTCTGAGGTCTCGTCAAAGAAGGAAAAGGCTTGGAACTGTCTCCATTTCATTTTATTTTCTCTTTCTTTTTAGGCAATTGGGGTTAAGTGACTTGCCCAGGGTCACACAGCTAGCAAGTGTCAAGCGTCTGGTCTTACGCCGGATTTGAACTCAGGTCCTCCAGACTCCAGGGCCGGTGCTCTATCCACTGTACCACCTAGCTGCCCTCTGCCCCCATTTCTAAGACCCTCCTTTCCTTTTACCTTCAGCTCAGCAGATTAGTTCTAGCTCTGATGGAATTGTAATGTCAGAGGCCATCTATGTAAGTGGAGTCTTGCCACGCTTCTCACTGAGCATCCCTTCCTTGCTGAGGGCCTTTCACGTCCGGTTGTGCTTCTTACTCTACAAAGGCCCTTTCGCTAATCCCTGTGGAAGTAAATTACCTCCTCATGTGTCCCGTCTCTTCTCATTTCAGCTTAGCAAACCTCTCTATCCTTTTCCTTTTTTCTCATGTTCTCATCCCCCAAGTCACATCCCTTACTTAATCCAGATTCAGTTAGATAGGTTAGGTAAGGATCCTGGCCCCTCAGACTTTGGTGCACTGCCTTCCAGCCTGGCCACATATTCCATGCGACCCCTGGACTCCTCCTCCTCCATGTGCTGACTTCCCTTCTTGCCATTTTAATACCCCTGATATCTGTCAGAAAACAAGAGGACAATTTTGTTACTTCTAGGCAGCCTTGAAGGAAGGAGAGGCAGGGTGGGGAGGGGAGTCCAGATACTTGGTTCAGACCTTGGCCAGGCAACCTGGTACCTATTTGAATCTGGGCAAACGACATCCACCTTCCAGGTCTGTTTCCTCTTCTGTACAACATGGCACTTAGACTAGGTGATATCTAAGGCTCTTTCTAGCTCTAAATTCTGGGATTAGTCACAAATGACATGAATGTTATCATTGTATGTGAATTTCCTTTATCTGTAAATCAGATAAGAGGCTGGCATATTGTCTATAGAATTTTAAAAATTGGAAGAGAAAGCAAACACTATCAGTGTAGCCACTCTGTTGAGCATTAATTCCCATGTCCAGCCAGTCTAAAAACACATCCAGACTTGCTTCCTTTCTTTAAATTTCCCCAAAAGCCTCTTTGTACAGAAACACCTACTTTTGTGGCCAGGATGAGCTTGTGTTTTCCTACTGGGCTAGCGAAGAGGAAGGAACAAGTATTTTGGAGGAGGAGTGTTCCTGGTCAAGGGAGGGACTGAGCAAACGGGGCAGGCTTCCTGGCATTTTTTTTCCGACCAGGTTGTGGTATGGCAGTGGCTCTGGGGTCTCCGGGCCTATGCCAGCAGAGCTCCAGCTGAGTCTAGATGGGAGCTGAAGACCAGCCTCGCTTCTCACCACGAGTCCATTGGCCATCGGGTGAATCTTTGGGCTGAGCACTTTAAGCAGATGTCTGAAGGCCGTTGCCTACGTCAGCTTCAGAAGCACAGTCCCTGCTAAAAGTGCGGGCCTTTCCAAGGACTGAGTACAGAAGATGGGTGTAGAGTGTGATGAGAGATGACAGATGACGATGCCCTGAACTGCAAGAGCCTTGCCGACAAACAGCCGTCTGTGCTGGCTTCACAGAGCACCCACAAGGTATGGTGTGAGGCCCCGATAAAGACCCCTCAACCCTAAAGCAAGGGCGGCTCTAAAGCCTAGAGACACTGACTTGGAATGATGTTTTTAAATGCACAAAATACACAGGATTACAAAGGAAACAAATTGTATTCAACCAGTTGATAATAATAATAATACTAATAAAAACCTAATGACCCCTCGATATGAGAAGCCTTGGCTTACCAATGAATGACATGGACAGCCAGACCAGCCCCTCCTCTGGGCATCCCCAACACCTTGAAAAGTGAGCCTCTCTTTCTGTCACTCAGGTACTTGGGTACCCTGGAGGAGGGAGGCACTGGAAAAATACAGGGGCTCTCAGGTAGACAGAGAAGGATGTTTTTAATAATCCTTGTATGGCACAGTGGTTTCTATGGGGACGGACTGAGACCGCTTTCACACATCTTCCATGGAGGGCGGCCAGCATCATGTGGTCACTTTGCTACTGTAGCCAAAGGAATGTGGTTCATTCTTGAGGCTCATGTATGCTTCAGAAATAAATGCTAATTATGGAGAAAGAAGCAGAAACCAGGAGTGATAAGAAAAATCTGAGCAGGGCTCAGATGTCCTTGTCAGGTAAACAATCATTAGTCTCAGAACAACTGTGTCAGTTTAACCCAAGGGGGAAAATGATCATTCTAATGTTAAGTTTTCATACATTTTGGCCTAACCTCTGATTTTGATTATCATGAAAAACAGAACGAGAATGTGACCCAGAAAGGGTGTTCCCAGCCTACCAGGCTGTCCTTTGATGCCACCCAAACACCCATCACCCCCAACGGTCCAATAGCATTCCACTGACTTTCGGAAGCCTTGTTCCTGCTTGCCCTTCATACACCCCTTTCTGCCAGCCTCATCATCCACCTGTGACCAATGCGGCCATCCATTTCTGGGAATCTGCAGTTGGCCGAGATCATTTATTCCACTTGCATCTAGTGGCTTGCTCTGGTGTTTCCCAGTAAAGCTCCTCGAGGCTACAACGATGATGCTGGACAGAAACACGGAGAGGGCTAGGAAGAGGAAGACGTGGACTGTGTACGAGGAGGAGTTGGTGCAGGGACGGAAGCCAAAGCGCAGCCCAGGTAGGTCGCAGGTGGAGCGCCCACTTCTCCTGCTTGAAGCCCCTGCTTCCAGTTCGGGGGGGAGGGGGGAATCTAGGGGTTCACCCTAAAGTAAGGAGGGTTAAAGAAGGCCTCTATGTCTCTGGCTAACCAAACATGCCCATGTAAAGCTGTTTTTCCTTTTGGTGGTAGCTGCTTAGTTCCGATTCCGTCCGCTGCAGGTATCGCCGGACATTGGCATCTTGGTAAGAAGAAGAAGAAAAGGAATTAAGTAATTCAGATCTCCAGGTAGGAGAGAGCAGATATTAAAAAGTAACCCCAAGTCTTCCTATGGCTGGAACATTCTTGACTGCACAGGGCCTAGTAAAATCTAATTCCAATTCATTAATCTGGAAGTTTGGTTATTTCTTTTAAGGACTGAGGGCTGGATTTTAGTTTTGAATTCAAAAGATTTGCTGAACAAGAGGATATACTAAACATTTTAATTATTTAAGAGGGCAAACAGGTTTGGTTGGGTTTTTTTTTTTTTTTTTTTTAGGCAATTGGGGTCAAGTGACTTGCCCAAGGTCACACAGCTAGTAAGTGTCAAGTGTTTGGTCTGAGGCAGGATTTGAACTCAGGTCCTCCTGACTTCAGGGCCGGTGCTCTATCCACTGCACCACCTAGCTGCCTGGCAAACAGGTTTTAAAACACCTTAGATGCCTCATTTTTGTACAGGCTGAGATGTTAATTACAAGCCATTAACTCTTCATGGAAACATCTTCTAAGTGACCTTGACTGAAATATTAGAGGTATATACCTTTGACATCAGTAACTTTTCATATGAATGATATCCCCTCATTTGCATTTTCATTAATTCAAGCTAGATTTTTCAAGTCAGCAGACATTAGCAAGGGTATATCATGCTCATATGTTTCTTTTGGGCCTCTTATAGAAAGAGAAAGAACAGTGTAGTAGATAGAGGGCAAACCCCGGAACCCAGCAGACCTGGGTTCAAGTTGTTGACCCTTCCTCGCTGTGTGACCCTGGGCACGTCACTTTACTTTTCTTGCAACACCACTCAAAGACTTTGGGTTGCAGATCAGAGTTGAAGAAGGAATTTGCTTCCTGGGGAGTGGAGTTCCCAACACCACTGAAATCACAGATCCAAACCAAGAAAATTGCATCCGACTGTAGTGCTGCATCAGGAGTCTAAAGTAGGATGTGAGTACAGATTTCTTTCTTGGCTGTGTGGAAGGCCGCCCTCTTTCTAGTTCGGGTAGGGAATCTTCAGCAAGTTTGGATGCAGTCAAAGGGCCGCACTTGAGGAGCCAGAGGGCCACATGTGGCCTCAAGGCCACAGGTTCCCCACCCCTGTAGAATCTAGCTTATTCCTAAGTCCCCATGAGACCAAAAGGCAGATGGGGAGGGCGAGTGGTAAGCACAGTGGACTGGACAGTCTGGCCCATCCTTGGGAATGCAGATCCCCCCAAGTCAGAGCCTCAAGGACCCTGCAGACAGACAGCATTCTTTCCCAACAGCCCACTGCCTTTGCCTCACCTTTTGGTTGACGGTCAGTGGCGGCCTGAAGGTAGCGTCGGGCCTGGTCATAGTCCTGTAAGTGAAAAGAAGCCACTCCTGCCCGGTACAAGGCCTTGGCATTGGCCGGCTGGCGCTCCAAGACCTTCTGACTGTATTCTCTCACTCGGTCATAGTTTACTGGCTCCATCTGAAGGAGAGAGGCTGAGGGGAGCAGAGAAAAGAGGAAGAGCCATTTGGTGAATTCTTCCTGGACAGTACTGGCTAACTTATGGTCATGTTAAGCAGAAGACTTTAATGCCAAAACAATCAATCTGATAATATTAAGAGGCTACTCAAAAATAGTAAAGGCAGCTAAGTGGTTCAGTGGTCAGAGTGCTGGGCCTGGAGTCGGGAAGACCTGACTTCAAATCTGGCCTCAGACACTTCCTAGCTGTGACCTTGGGCAAGTCACTTAACCTCTGTTTGACTCAGTTTCCTTATGTGTAAAACCAATCCAGTGTCATTGCCAAGAGAATCTCATGGACAGTAAGATCACTGAACAGTTGGATGTGACCGGATGATTGAACAGTAGCAGAAACAATGCCTAACACTTGTGCTTTCTTCTTTGTCGGGGGTGGGGAGGATGGAATAAGGAAGACCTGAGGAACCTCTACTGATACCAACTGCAGCTGGGCAGTGTTCGAGAGCGTCCCTGGAACACATGGTCAGGATGGGTCAGAGGCCGAATGACACCCAGATTTCCTACTTTGGACCCTGGCCCTCAGCCTCGACTACAGTGTTATGTGCACAAACATTGTAAAAAAGCGGTTCTGTGGGAGCCATTTCCTTGGGCATCCTCCTCTGTGTGCAAAAGGACAGCCACTCCCTGGTTCCTGACCTTTGCACGCCCAGGGAGCCCTGGCCTGGCGTTCTCTTATGACCTTCCCAACACAAATCTGATCACAGAACTGTCAGCTTCTTTCACAAGCCACCACTTCTTCTGGGACCGAAAAGGAAATGGGAACCACCTGCTGCCTTTCTTAACAATGGCTTCGTCTGAACGCACAGGATTCACAGATTCTAGCGCTGAGGATGAAGAGTCACCCCAGCAGACTGTCCGGGCGACGGCGGGTCTTGTTACCGCTTCTACCCTTGCAATGTGACGCTCGATCACAAAGCATCTCGGCCAGGGTTTTGTTCTTGGCCTGTTCTGATGCCAAAAGAATATTGTTGGCAACGAAATAAACATGCTGAAAGCCCGGGAGCAAAAGGGCAGCCCTGGCGGCGTCTCAGCGGCAGCACCACCTCTCCTGCTTCTCCATGCTGAGAACGGCTTTCTGAGGTACAGGAACAAAGGACAGAACAGGGGAACGCACAACACTGGAGTCACTGTTACACAGCCCGGTCCGCGTGTCCACAGTGTCGTCTGTCCAGCGCCGGCCCATCTCCCTTACAGCTTGTTGATTTAAAGTTAGTAACGCACTTAGAAGCCCCAGAAGAGCGTCAAGGGCCGTACAAACGTGGGAATCCCAACTGCATGTCTTTTGTGTCGCGCCACCAGTGCTCAGACCAGCCTCAGTGGCACACAGCTGCAGTCCCTGCAGCGGGGGAGGCTGGGGCAGGTCAGTGGCTTTAGCTGAGGCCCTCTGCTCTTCTTACTTGGGGATCTCCTCGGCGTTCATGGACTGAGTGACAGTCTTGATATAAACGATTCTCAAACCTGCTTCTCCTGCCCTGACTTCTCCACTGACCTCCAGTCTCACATCTCCAACTGTCCTTCTAACATCTTGAACTGGATGTCCAGGAGACAACCCTCCCCTCTTCCTAACTCTCCTATTGCTGTTGAGGGCAGCATCCTCCCGGTCTGGCAGGCTTACAACCCCCTCATCTTTGACTCCCCACTCACGGTGTCCGTCTTCCTAACATCTCTCCTATACCTTCCCTTTCTCCTGGGGACACCGGCCCCACCCTGATGCACCCTCATCATGTCATACCTGAACTCTAACCAGCTGGTGGATCTATCTCCCTGCCTCGTGTCTCCCCCGACTCCAGTCCATGCCGCGCTCAACAGCTGCCAAACTGATCTTCCTAAAACAAATTCTCATTGTATTTCTCCCCTCTCCCCTTCAATAAACTGCACTGGCTCCCTATTACCTCCAGGATCAACTCTAAAATCCTCTTTGGCTGTTAAAGCCCCTCAATGACCTGGGCCCTTCCTGCCTTTCCAGTCTTTCCCTCTTTGCTCCTCTACTCCTCAACCCCAGGACACCGGCCTCCTGGCCGTTCCCACAACATGATGCTCCCCCATCCCTGGACCGCCCTCCCTCCTCATCTCCTGTGTCGTGGCTTCCTTCCAGTCTCCGCCAATGTCCTACCTTCCTCGGGAAGCCTTTCCCACACCTCCCTCGTCTTGGAGCCTTCCTTCTGAGACCGTCACCGAGTGATCTGTCTGTCTGTATCTTGTGGGCACAGATGCACTGCTTGTTGTTTTCCTCTTTGGACTGGGAGCTCCTGGAGGGCAGGGGTTGTTTTTTGTCTTTTTTTTTTTTTAAATCTCCAGAGTGCTTAGCACATAGTAAGTGCTTAGTAAATGGTAGCAGATTGAGTGACTGCAGTAGGATAAAGGTTAGTCTGACATCAGATGGTTAGCTCCCAGGAATGGAGGATGCAGAGGTGTGGAGGTGTGGAGGTGTGAACTGGGAAGGCTGGAAAAAGGGAGCATGGGGTCGGGCCCAAGAGTGATTGTCCTTCTTCCCAGCCTACTGGACAGGGGAGACAGTCTTTAAGAAAAAAAAAATTAAAACCAAAAAACACTCCTTGGATAAGATGGGCACTTTACTCTGCTTTAAAAAGGAAGAGATCTCAGTATCTCCTGACTTTCTTGCAAAGTATCTGGTGTTTCCAGGTCTCTTGACACTTAACCTCCATCTTCTGGGGTGCGATTTAAACCTTTCTTTTGTTTTTAGAGTTCAGCTTGGTCACGCTAACGTCTCTGCCATCTATCTTTCTAGCTGAATCTAATATTATCCCTCCCCTGCACAAATTGTCCATTCTTCTCAAGGCTCCAGCATTGTGCCCATGTACACGTATCATCCCCGGCCTGTCCTCCCTCCCACAATGCCCTCCACCAATGCCTTGCTTCAGCTGTGTCATTGGCCTCTGATTCATCAAGGCCAGCTTCATCAAGTCTGTCCTGACCACTCCAATGATCTCTCCCTCTTCTGAACTAACACCGCCCGTGTCACTCAGTATAAAGGACCATGGCGTAATAAACCCATCCCTACTCCTGGAGTCAGGAAGCTCCAGACGTGGCTCCCGGCTCAGTCAGACCGGTCACTCAGCCTCCTGGGCCTTCATCCTCTCTAGAAGGAACGGCCTGCCCGCCCAATCCCTTCCTCTGATCCTATATATGATCCTACAGGCATTCCTTGTGTTATTTACCTCCCCAATTAGATCCCAATTGCCCTGAAGGCTGGGACTATGAACCCGACACCCCTCCCCCCAGCTTCAAGCCCAGTGCTGGTCACAGAGCTAATCATGGCTTGATGATATTTACCAAAGGCAAACACTTTTAATATATATTGAATATGAAGTACAGCATCATATATTCTGATATGCTATGAAATAACTCATACATTTGGAGGCTGGGCACTACTCAACTTATCCTTTTGGCTAAATGTCCCCTAATTCTTTTTGTCTTTGCCCGTACATCTTATTTCCTGAGCTCTTAATAATTTTTGTTCCTTTGCTCCAAATCCTTAAATTCAGGACTCAGACTACAGAGCTCCTGGATGGAGGGGCACTATAGACAACTGTTACAGAAAAGGAGGCAGGTTGGTGTAATGGACAGGAAACTGGCCTCAGCAATCTGGAGTCCTGGGTCAGGTCCCTCCAGCTGTGAGAGCCTGGCCTGGCCCTCGAGTTCCTCGCGCCCCAAAGGTATCTCCAAGAGCCCTGCTGCTTCCTATCTCGGGGGTGACAGGAGCTGGAGACTGCTGCCCCGTGGTGTAGACGATGTCAGTGCTCATTAAAGGAGATTAGAAGCAAGTCCAGCTCCTATTCATAAATCCCAAAGTACCAGGATCGACTCAACTCTGTTGAGTAACTCTGTTACTGTTGCAGGGGGTGCGCAGTGTAGGAGAGAAGGATTCTAGTTTCTCCTCTACTCTAGATCACACCTTTAAGGTGCTATGGGAACTCTACACCTGATCTTCTTACAATCTCATCTGACCACTTCCGACACTTGCTCTAACCTCTTCGAACCCTCTCGCTTTATTGCTAAACTCCTGCCCGCCTGGCCCGGATGCCGCCGCTGGGGAGGCATACACATTCTCCAGTGCAGCTTTGGGTTTCCACGGGTGCCTAGTTAACCCCTTCCCCTCTCTTTTCTCAGGCCCAGGAAGTCACTTCGATTTGGTTGTTTTACACAGCCTAGTACTTCCCCCCACACGTTAGAAATGAAAATGTGCCTCAACACCTCCATGGCATCATTTCGGACACCCGGCAGTTTTACCTCACTGCTCTGTAACTTAATAAACATCGGATCTATTTTACTTGGTCTAGAATCAACTGGCCTACGAGATCTCTCACTTGCGGCAAAATAACTCTACAGTCTGGAAGTGAGAGGTGGGAGGCGGGGGTCGCCTGGGCTCCTTTCCAGGCTCAGAGTTGCCTAGGCCATCAGAGGAGAGGCGGAGGAAACGTCCCACCCGCAAACTCCCGAATCCCAGGCCCCCCCCCATTCTTTTGACGTCGTGGCCGGAGCCCCGCGGCCAGCTGCCAAGGTCAGTCTCTCTTCCCCGCCGAAGCCGGAGCCGGAGCCGGGCTCTCCGAGGGCAGTTCTTACCGGCCAGGTTGTTGTAACAGTCGGCCTGCGTGCTCTCCAGCACCTGCTGCTGCTCGACCGTCAGCGCCGGGCCTCGGGCGCCCAGGGGGGGCAGCGGCGATGGCAGGCTCGGGTCGAGGCCCCGAAGCTGAAGCAGGGCCCGGTGGTACCGGCTCACAGCATCCCGGTAGCGCCCCTCCCGGTAGCGCTGGTTCCCCTCCTCCTTGTACTGCTGCGCCTCGCGGAGCCTCCTCTCCATGGCCCGGGGTCCGAGAGAAGGGCCGGGGTGGCTGCTGCTGCTGCTGCTGCTGCTGCTGCGGGGGCTTGTGCCGCAGCCGCCGCCCCGGGGGGAGGCCCAGAGGACACCCTTGGCACAGGGAGCCGGCCCTCGCCTGCCCGACCCACCCCGGGGGCTTCAACACCCACGATTTCCTCCCAGAACCCCACGGGGAGCCCCGAGTCGGGCCGAGATCGGGGGCTCCGGGGGCGCGAGCGCGCGGGACAGGGTCTGCACCAGCAAGCCCACCCGCCCCCACCGCGGGCGGGCGGACGGACAGTCGGGCGGTCCTCAGCGCCTGCGAGCGTGCGCGTGGGGTGGCTTCGCGTCCACGTTCACGGAGTCCCTGCTGCGCCCCTGCTTGGCCCCACGCTCCGTCCGGAGAGGCTGCACCTGGGCACCGGCGCCCAGGTCCTGAACGTGGCCGGGCCTCGATGTGCCTACTCCCGCCTCCCGGCCGCAGGGACCCCGGACAGGGCCCGTTTACCGAGCGCCTCCGCGCGCGCTCCCGCCGTCCAATCACCTCACGGTTCCACGCCGGTGCACGCGCGCCGGGAGAAAAGAGCCGCGGGGCCCCGCCCCCTCCTCGGGCCGGCGCCCCACGAGGACCAATCGCCAAACCGTCCTCGGCTGAGCTGCCCAATCAGAGAAAAAAAGAAACCCGGCAGCATCGGTGGCCCAATGGGAGCGAAGACTGGGCGATTCGAGCCGCCCACTAAGTGGGGACTGGGGCGGGAGAAAGGGGAAACTCAGCAGGCGTGTTGGGGACCCCGACCCCGACCCCGACCCCGACCCCGACCCCGAATGACACCGAGACCAATCGTCCCCAGCCCCGGGTACTAGTTTTGTGGCTAAAAAAATGATTCTTTCTCCGCCTCCTCGCGACGGGTTTCTGCGGCTACGGGGCTGCGGGCACGCCAAGGGAGGGAAGGGGCTGCCGGGGCTTCTCTCTGGTGCAGAAAGCTAGGAGGTGCGGGGTGCGAAAGGACCGCAGCCCCAGCGTAGAAACCAGTTAAGCTGCCGCTGCCCCTCCAGGGTGCCGCAATAAAAACAAGACCCAAACAAACCTAGACAGACCCCCTTGCAGTGATTGGTGGAGGAGGAAGAGGGGGCGGGAAGAGCAGGGAAGGCCAGCCTATCGCTGGACGCACGCTGTTCGGGGGGGGGGGACGAGGAGGGAGGGGTGGAAAAAGAATCCCCTCGCCAGCCCGGGACTAGGCCCGGAGAGGGGAAGGAGAGTCTGGGGTGCGGCCAGGATGGGCTTCAGCCGGGAATGCCCGGCGTCCGGCCGCCGGCACCCAGTTTTCTGGGCGCGCGTGCCCGAGCGGGGAGCAGTCTCGGTGCGCGGGAGGCGGCCGGCCGCGGCGGCGGCAGGCCCTGCGCCTGCGCGCTGGGACCGGGCCGACGGTTCGCGGGGGGGCCGAAGGGGGGGAGGAGGCGGAGGAGGAGGGAGGAGGCGGCGGGAGGAGGGAGGGAGGCGGAGGCGGCGGCGGCGGCGATGGAGGTGAAGCGGCTGAAAGTGACCGAGCTGCGGTCGGAGCTGCAGCGCCGAGGCCTGGACTCGCGCGGCCTCAAGGTGGACCTGGCGCAGCGGCTGCAGGAGGCGCTGGACGCCGAGATGCTGGAGGACGAGGCGGGCGGGGCGGCGGCGGCGGCGCGGCCCGGGCGGCCGGGGGCGGCGGCGGCCGTGCGGAACCCGGGCGGCGACGAGGCGGACGAGGACGACGACGACGACGACGACGACGCCGCCGCGGACGAGGACGCGGACGAGGACGAGGACGCGGCGGCGGCCGCCGCCGCCGCCGCGGCCCAGCCCCAGCCCCTGCCCCAGCCGCCGGGCCGGGCCTCCGCGCAGCCCCGGCTGCCCGCAGCCGC